GCCCCAAAGAAAAGATGGAGGGACGTCATCAAGAAGGACCTCACTGAAGTGAAAGCCACGGCAGAAGATGCAGTGGATCGGAACAAGTGGCGACGTCTAACAAGAACAGCGGACCCTGCGACGGCGCGGGACTAACGCTAGGGAGAAGAAGAAGAGCTTGGACCTAATATTTCGAATTATGAATGAACAATACAGCTTCACTAACACTTCCATTTCATCAGCTGGACGAAGTCAGTGATCTACATGAGCTCACCGCTCCAGCAAGACTGAACCTTAGACTAGTTTTCATTGGAAAAGAAACAGTCACGTAATGAGAGGAATACCAAAAGACGTATAGCAGAGGTTCCATAACACACTATCTTATCCTTTTTGCATAGAGCGATACTTATAGCTTCAAAATACGGCCGTAGTGAAATGTTGAAACACTGCTGACAAAGTTGAGATCAGGCTAAATCCTCTCAATTTTCAACACTTGAGTATTCTACGAAGATATAATTTCGCGGAAGTCTGATGATCCGTCACTGCGTCGTCTGAATTCTGGCTCCGCTAATCAGTAACGCCATAAATATTTCCGACCTAAACGAGAATAGTATGAATGGTATATGTTCGAGCCACCGATTGTCAATGACAGACCTTGCTGACTCATGCTGCGAGGGAAAGTTCCCTGCCTTGAACATATCCATAGGTCTTTCTTGGTGGAAGTCTGCTAAGTTCACAAGCACGGACCACGTATTTTCTTCGATGTTGTTTCTTAGTACCTGCACTTCACTTTTATTAGTACGCTAGATCGACAAAACAATGGAAATTGAGCTCACTTCGATAATCTGTGGATCTAAGGTTTCGATAGCGAAGTGCACTACAGTTCGCCCATTCTTGGCATCCTAGAAAAAATTCGGACTGATTCCACGAAAGCACTAATGAATAATGATTCAGCGATGTGTGAAAAGAATCTTAGCCATAAAGACAATCGCATACAACAAGAAGGAGGACATAAAAAGACAGCTGAGGTCATCTGTCAGTCATCCATGGAGTTTATTACCTACTTACATGAAAGGTCGTTCAGGACGTGGAGCGCTTTTTGAAAACGGTTTTTGCATGATGTGGGGTCACGTGCATGGAGTACCAAACTGACGTTCATTTTTCCTGAACGCCTCTGGGAATACCAAAAAAGGAGTGAAAAGAAGTATATGGAAACCGATTGTTTCTGAGCCTCCACGCGCTGTAAATTATTAGGTTGTTCGGAAAGAAATGCGCGCTGAAGCGCGTTGAATTTGTCCATTTATTTCTCTCCTACTATAGAAGATTTTTCAAAACAGTTTTGTCTATTAGAAAGAGATTTTTATTGTGCATCTTTTGATATATTTTTGTCTATGTCTACTTTGCTTTTTTTGAAGAAAAAAAGTTGGGAAGAGTGGGTGCCGCACCAGCTGAGCGACGCAAACAAGGCAACACGAGTGGCAATGGCCGGAATTCTTCTTCGTCGCTCCAAGAACAGCGGTTTCTTCGACTCTATTGTTACATCAAATGAGAAAAGACATGGTTCGAGCGGTGACACTACCAAAACCGACTCGAACGGGATATCCACGGCAAAAAGTGGTGGAACAGCAAAGGTTTGGTGTACTTTGAAATTCTGGTCAAACAGTTACGGCGGACATCTACAAAGATCAATTGAACCGCGTGGATCAAGCACTGCGTCGTCAAGGTGTCGAAACGACGTCGACAAAATTCCTCCACGACAACGCTCGTCCACATGTCGCGAAAATCACTTTGGAAAAAAATTGAGGAATTGGGCTGGGAAGTCCTGCCTCATCCGCCAGACCTGGCACCATCCGATTACCATCTGTTCCGGTCGATGCAGCACTCCCTGGCCGAGAGAAAGTTCACAAACCGCGAAGAAGTCCAACTCTGGGTGTCCAAATTCTTTGAGTCGCAGCCGGCCGGCTGGCTGGCAACAAGTCATTGATAGGGAGACTATCTTTTGAATTGATCTTGTTTAATTTCGTTTTTATAATAAAAAGTTTTTAGACTCAAACGCGCATTTCTTTCCGAACAACCTAATGGTTGCGAATTTGACCAGTTGTGAATGACGGGTCTTTATAAAGGGACTATTGAAATCGGTGTGAAGAACGTCACTTGGGTCTTACTTGTGTCACTTGCTTAATAGTGATTGGTTTCATAGCATGATTTCTTCAAGGTTTGAAGCTGCATATATCCGCATCCATCAGATGGCCAGGTGGATAGCGTGGAGGATTCTCATTCGAAGAGTGATGACGGGATCGGTGGCCCACTTCCCCGCTGACCGGAAAATTTTGCATTTTCCAGGTTCGGCTGGTATCGCATCCATATAGGTCTCTGCATGATGCATCGTGGATGTATACCATTCATGGGCAATTCCAAATGGTGGTCACCCATGAGTCGGTGCTATTCAACGATTACAATTTTTGCATATCAATACGCAAGACTTTTGTTGAAAGTTGGCCTTTATCAGTGGCCTGATCAGGAGCATATTTACTTCCAGCTGTGGCGCTATTTATCGCTACTTCGTAAATTCGTTATGTACACTCATATGAGGGACGTTCAATGTCGCCAAATTGCGTCGACGCCGAAAATAAGTGTCAGAATGGTGACCAGGACCATCGACTACCCCTCCGCGAACTTTCATGCGAAAATTTATTTGATCTCCGCAGATGAGGGAAAAGATGTTGCAGCCTTCTCGAGATATTTTTTGAATCAAAGATTGAAATGTTTCAACTAGCTACTTCTGTGGCAAAAACCTTCAAAAAAAAGTTCACTCACTGTGCTATACCGCTCTAAGGAAGCCCCATTCAGAAAGGAAGCTGCTTGAAGGTCCTCACTATCAAGCGGCTATCCTCCGGAGATCAACAACAGGGATGAGCTCATGGAAGCAATGAGGCTAGTGTGATAGCGGTAGCGATATGGGAATTCATACGAAATGTCACGCGCGTCGCATTATTAGTGGCTTTTAGTTGCATAGGGCGGTTCATCCGGGGAAGGCGTTTAGTTGCTGTAGTTGTATTGGGTACAGTGTACCATATTGCATTGTATTGCATTTATTAACGCATTTGTTGCTGAGAAGTTGGTCGCCCTGGTCAGTTAACTGTTCAGCTTAGCTCTTGTTGAGTTTTATTTTATAGGATATGCTTTATTTGGCTGTTTAAGGTCTGAGGAAACTGTTAGAACAGCGAAGCTCATCAATAAAGTGTAACTTGAAGAGTCCTCAATTTGTGTTCCAGAACAGATATTACAATACCAGTCGGATCGCCCGCCTTCGGCGGGCGATCCTCCTTCCGCGTGTGAAGTGGGTATTTGCCCCAGAGTTTTTCCAGTGTCCAGTGTTTGTCAAAAAAATTTTTTCAAAAATTACAGAACTTTGCCGTTTCATTCGTTGTATATACCCCCCCTAGAAAGCAGTCGTCGAAATTTTCTATAGGATACCCTATTTAGTGTTGAGGACTTGCAGAGTGAACTATCGCAGGGGACCCTAACCGTTTGATACACAATATACTGCTTACGGGTGTCTCTCTCTCAATTCATCTACCTACCCGCTGCTCAGTTTCACCCATGTTCCCCGTTTCCTGGTCTGCTCCGGATGCGTTTTGAGATTTTTATCCTCGGCTCTGTCCACTTCGGCGAAGGCCCCGCCCATTGTGGGCGGAACTTAGGTGAGCTTGTGCTCTGCAAATGCTTATCTATGCCACGTCGATTCCAAGCACAATCTGTACCCTTGAAGAGAAAATTTTCACGAAACCCCATTTCCAAGCGTCACACAGACACACACACACACACACACACACACACACACACACACACACACACACACACACACACACACACACACACACACACACACACACACACAACTTCTGGTTTATATATAGAGAATAAAAGAGGAACTAAACTGAAATCTCAAACTTAAAGCCTCCAAAAAGTCCAGCCGCTTCTTTAACACGTTTTTTCAAAAATTTTATATTGTATCATTTTCGAACGTGCAGCTCCTACCCTTCCTTCCTGATGAGTACGGAAGGAGGATACCGTAGTTGTCCAGTTTCCGTCTGAGGGCACGTGCGAAACGGAAACTTGACTACTTTCTTGAAATCAATAAAACAAAGAATTTGATCTCTAAAAGAAGAACTAAATAAAAATAATAAATGATTAGATGAACAAGTGAATGAGAAATCATATTTGAAAATTATACCACAGTTTCACACAATAATGTTGTAATTAGAACAAACCAATTATATCACACTAAAATCACATTATATATAGAGAGATATGAGGCTCAGGGATAGTTCAATAATATCAACCTCTATCGTAACAAAGCTAGCTTGCCGCGTGCGGGTACGCCTAATCATTTTGGACAATGAAGTTCCACACTTGTCAGAAACTCAAAAAGGGATCTGAAGTTAACTCGCAGCTTCCTGTTACATGGAACTACGGGCGAGCACATATTTGTTGAGAGGTTTTAACGTTGTTCCTTGGAAAAAGCAAAAACTAGTACAATAACCGAACAATAAAGTTCAATTCCAACGGCTTGCTCTGCTTTGGAAGTGAACCTGCTATCAATGCTCCTTCTTGCAACGGTACAGCTCCACCTTACCCGATAAGTAAACGGTAGGTGACGGTATGGAATTCATTAAAAGCGGTCATTTTGATATGGAGACATTTCCGTGCCGTTGTCTTGCCGCGTGCTCCCCCCCCCACAACTCACTAGCCTTGAGTGGCGGCGTCGCGCGCATACTAACAAAATATTACCCAGCAGGTTGGGTTCATGCAAGCCGCCAAATCCACGTTCAACAAACAAGGTCTTGATACGAGTACTGCGCCGTGACTGTCTACAACGCTTCTTTCGCCGCAACTCGGGGTAAACGAAATACTCCCTAACAACTACGTTAGTTTACGTTTACGTTACTACGTCTTGTAAATGCTGCAATCAGTAGCATGAAAAGAAATGGTTCTGGAACCGAGTAACCATGTGTTGCTCAAAATTCGCTCAACTCGCATGCATAACGTACCACAAGTGTTGGGTCTGCTCCAGCCTCTAGAAGTGTGACAATTATGCTGCGACTGTCAACGACGTTCTGCGACCGTTCATCAATAACGCCATGATTGATTATGGCACAGTGAAGAGCAGTTTGACCGCGGCCGTTCAACTCGTTGATACGGAGTTTTCGATCACCACAAAGAATCTGTAATACGAAATTAGCTCAGCCTGAACAGCAAAAAAAAGTACAAAGCGCTGCCTTGATGATATCGTGCATGCCCCTCGCGGCTGCATAATGCAAAGCTCCTTCCCGTTCCGGACGTACTGACTGCACATTCGGATCTGCTCCAACTTCAAGCAAGTACGCAACCACCTGAAAATGTCGATCATAAATTAAGAAAAAACATTCCTTGAAAATGGAAATTTTCGTAGACCACACTGACTGTCACCGAGAACTCACCTCTTTCAGCTGTTGCTGCACTGCAAGAAACAATGGTGTTTCATTGTAGCGGTTTGGCACGTCAAAAGGTCGGCGTTCCTCGAGGCACTCAAGTTTCAACTGTTGTTCAACCAGGGAGTAGATCTTTGCGAGGTCGTGATGAGAAATAACAATATGCAGAAGTGTGTCACGATCATCGTCTTGATGGGTCAGTGTACCAGGAGCGAACTGTAATTCACACGATAGACCACTGTTACGGAGGGTTCCTAATGAGAGAGCGAATCTTCAAACGGAATCAATCCAAACAAAGGGTCAACAAAAAGAAGCGTTTTCGATAGATATAGATCGATATGAGAAGCTATTCCGGGCGCCGAGTCCATGCGACTACTTTGAGCCCTGAGCTCTTGTTCCTGTCTAAGAACTTTGAAACTAGTTAACCACTACAATGAGTCACAGTAACATTGGTCAACCTATGGTAAGGGTTGGACAGAGAAGGAAGATACTTGCAGCTTCGCGAAACGAACTTGTACAAGAAGGGGAAGCGAGAGCGCACGTTGCGGATGAAAGTATTCACAGAACAGCTTTCAGAATACTTCCCGTGCCTGTCCCTTACCTCTTTCTTTCTAACTGCATTATCATTACCAATTCGTTTTGAAAAATAATCCAAACTGATAGCTACGAGTGCCAAACTGCAGGTCAGAGCACGGCCAAGCATCAGGTCGCGGGAAATGGAGAGTGGTTGGTACGACCCTTCCCCCACAAAAGGGTGTCCGTACAACCCCTCCGCTCTTAGTGACTGTGGAATGAGTGGAGGTATCTGCCGTGTTTATCAGGATGTAGCTCTATATGTTGTGTGTCATCCGAATTAGGGAGTATCTGAAAACATTTACCAAAGCAATCAAACAAAACTGTTGCACTGGAAACTGGGGAGATTAGTTTCTAAGAAATCGTGTAATGCACGAAGTGGAATTTCGAAAAACCTAACAATGATGCCGCCCTAACGAAACAGCACAAAACTGAGACACTGAGCGCACTGTGGCTCCGCGCGATTGAGATCAGAGCGCTATCGGCACTGCCCTTACACAGTATTCTTTGAAAGGGTGTAACTTCATTGAAAAGCCATCTTTCGCAGAGCTAAGGACGATTCAAGTTGTATGGCCAGGCTCTATACGAAATATACTACAGGTTTCATCAAGCTTGCATGACGGCTTCTGGCCAGAAAATAACGCGGAGAATTTCAAGCAAACGCGATTCTTCACCTTTCAATGGAAATCACTTTGTTCAGGCACAATTTACTTGTTAGAACGGAGACTCACATGGCATTAGAAACTAGAATGTTTTCTCTTTCCAATGAGCGCAACAGCTTTGCTGCAGAAGAGAAAAAGTCGTCCTTCGCGCAAAACCACCAAAATAGCGCGGAGAATTCCAAGCAGATGCGACTTTTTCACCTTTTGAATTCAATAGCATTCTTATGAGATGACGAAGAACGGAGCACTACACGGCGTTACGGACTAGAAGAATATAGGTTTCTAATGAGACAACTTTGCCGCAGCCCAACTACAGCGAAAAGTTACCCGTCGCGGACCATTTGAAAGTCAGCTTTAGTTGTAGCATAAAGATCTCCCTCCCCTGCAAAGCCGACATTTCCATCTAGAAAGCTCGGTAGGCTTACCGTACACCTTTTCATGTAGCGAATCGGAACTGCAGCACAGAGGCGCTGATCAACACCTCCATGGAATGCGCCGATGTACTCGACTTCCACGAACGCATCACTCATCCTGCAAGCTACTCCCTGCTGTAATAAGTACTGATCTCCGCAAATACTACCCCCTCTTGAGTGGGATCGAATACGACTCTCGTCGTGGATTTCGCAACGTATGCTTGACTTTGGGCCAAACACTTCCCCGCCGCCCAGCGCAAAACAACAGGCAAAGTTTGGGCGCAGTTCGGTGACAAGGGGGGGGGGGGGCATTTTGCACTTTCGTTGCTTCACTAGTTCCGGTTTACAAGTCTCACTCTGGTGAAACCTGTGAACTCTTGTGAAGCTGGAGCAAGCTCGTCAAGCCATCATGGGAACCTGTCAACTCGAGAAGAGGCTGTCTAGATGGGTCGACACGTCGATGGGAAGCAGCAGTAGTGAAAAATGCCCTCCCCGTAGCCGAACTGCCCCCAAAGTTTGTTCGAGTGACGAGCGAGACCTTAACCAGCCGAAAACGCTCTAACCTGCTGATATGGATTATTTTTCAGAAGCGGGTGGGGCTTCTGCAAAGGGGAGCGGAGCTTCTCACAATGGGTGGAGCTACCCGTTGCAACCCGAAAAGGGAAAATTTTGAAAAAAGTTTGAAATTACGCAGAAAGACGCGCGCAGCAAGGAGCGGAGCCTAGTGTGCCAAAATTCAAGTGCGTGCTTATGAGTGCAGCTGTGTTTTGAAGAATGGGCGTGGAAAGAACGTCGCTGAAAAAAGTAACGGAATTTCGAAATTTACAGCTTCAGGGCAGAGTCATATCTGTGTCCATGTATCAGTCCTTTCCGTTGGCGTGTATGTACGAAATAGCAAAATGGCGAAAAAGTCACAGAAGCAGAATAAGAAACGACTTTGGAAAAAACATGACCGCGCTAAGAAGTGGGCAGGGGTGTTAGGGCGGGGCTTGCAGCAGACCTAGCTGGCCTAGTTAGCCAACTGTCAACGAACCAACTGTGAAGAGTGGATGCCGTTTGGCTTAACACGTTCGCGGCGGCGGCGTTTCGCCAAAAACTCCCGTTTCTCGAGCGACGCGTTCGCGGCAGGCAACATTAGGCAATCGTCCCGTTTATGGTTCAGCGCGCTCGCGACGGATATAACTTTGTTAAAACTCACTAGAGTCGTTTTTGCCATCCTTTTTACATTTTTTCCCTTCTACAGATTTTATCTGGTTTTCGGTAAATGAACTAGATTTCTTGCCCCCTTTGAAACTGGTTGGAACCGATATTGTGTGTTATATAATGTTGATGCTAATACCTCTTGAATACTTCTATGTCGTCTATTTCATTATTTGTATACAACTGTCAGTGAAAAGAATAGAATAAAAGTCATAAGAAAACCAGTGAAATGTCGCGTGTACTTCTGTGAGTACGACATGGCCAAAAAAGAAAAGTTTTTGCATGTTTTTTCGGGAGTACACGCCTCTTTTGATGTGTGGATATTATTTATCTATTGTTGTTTTATTATCTGTTTATAATTATTAGCGAAAAAGAAAATATATAGCAAAATCGAGCGAAGAGGCGCGCGTACTCCTGGGAATACACGATTCGCCCGAAGAGAAAAGTTTTTAAGTGTTTTTTCGGGTGTATACGCCTCTAATAATGTGTGAATATTGTTTCTCGATTGTTTGTTTGATTATCTGTATCCAATTCTTAGTGAAAAAGGAAAAGAAAATACCAAAAACGAGCGAATAGGCGCGTGTACTCCCGGGAGTACACGCCGCCGCGAACGTGTTAAAGACACATGGTACGCTCACACACATTGAGGGTGTATGTGACTATCAGCCCCCAGCTGTCGATGTGTCGTGGTTTCCCCGCCCGAAACTGCACGGGGTTAGAGTACAGGGCCGTGGGAAAGTCTAATTCGTCCATGCTCCGCCTACCGTTTATGCTAACAGCCGTTCCGCGCGGCGCGTGTCGCGCGCTCTCTTGGCTTTTTGCCAAGTCCTGTAATTGCGCTTTGGAATACAAGTAAAACGCAATTTCCTGATGCGGATAACATTAGGTGCTGCAAAATAAGAACCGAAGATGATGACGAGGGCTAGAACTCAAGAGCAACTCTGCAACATCTCAGAGGCCGCGCATTCCCACAGAACATGAAATAAAAACGGCCTAAGCGTTCCACTCGTTAGTTTAATACAAGCAAAACGCAATTTCCTGATGCGAATAACATTTGAGGTGTTGCTCATGCTTCAAAGTCCGAAGGTGATGAAGATGACAAAGGCTAGAAATGAAGAACAACGAATGTAGATGTAAATAAAACAAAATGAAAAATTAAGGAAACGCAAATTAATTAAAATCGCGTGTAAATTTCTGCGATCCGGCGCGAATCCGGCTCCAAAGCCATAGAAATACTTTAAACTAACGAGTGGGCTTAGGCCGTTTTTATTTTCATGTTTTGTGGGAATGCGGCCTCCGAGGGATATTGCAGAAGCAGCACAGTTGCTCTTGAGTTCTGGCCCTCGTCATCATCTTCGGTTCTTATTTTGCAGCACCTAAAATGTTATCCGAAATTGCGTTTTACTTGTATTCCAAAGCGCAATTACAGGACTTGGCAAAAAGCCAAGAGAGCTGCACGCGACACGCGCCGCGCGGACGGCTGTTAGCATAAAGGGAGTCTGCGCCGCAAGTTGCATTTTGGGCGGAGCATGGACGAATTAGACTTTCCCACGGCCCTGTACTCTAACCCCGTGCAGTTTCGGGCGGGGAAACCACGACACATCGACAGCTGGGGGCTGATAGTCACATACACCCTCAATGTGTGTGAGCGTACCATGTGTCTTTCTAGTTTCTTTCTTTTCGTTTGACAAGCGTTCGATTTGGCTTGAAAAATGTCCGATTTAGAATGGAAATTGTATAGATGCCGGAAGTAACCATTCGTTTCTTTGAACGCTAGCTCAGCTCTTCTCACGCGAGAACAAACGAGAACTGTGACGATGTAAGTTCAGTTGCGGAAGCTCCAGAACCCATGAAATGGTTTCACGCCTTTGTCGGTTTCCTTGATATTTACGACATTTTTTTTATTTACAAAGTCTAGGCCTTTCCATGAGCAAGTAACTAATTCTTTCGATACTAGGAAACATTTCGTGGATTTTTTTCAAAATTGGAAAGACGTGAACGATACGGTCCACTAGACAGTGAGCGTGGTAGTTGAGAAAACAAACGTGCGACGCACCGCGTTCGAATGGGGAAGCTCTTTTTTGTTTGCAACATTGGGAGATACATGGAGAATTCTGAAGCAAATCGGTTCGGTGAGAAAAAAAACCAAGGATGAAGGATAAGGTTTTCTCCGATGATCAATGCTTTTTTAGGATGCGGCGCGTTTTACATTTAGAGTCGTAGTGATGCGATGTGGCCTAAACATTGACTGCCGGGAGCCAGCCGATGTATTAGGTAATCTAGAAAGTTTCGAGAAAATTTCGTTTTTTTCAGTTTGAAATTGTAGCGAGCGAATTCGCCAACACAAAATCCTATACTAAATGTTGAGTGAAAGTGAAATGTTCGAATTACAACACTGGTTGTCGATAATGCTCTTACTGATATGAATTGAAATCAAAGGAAAAATGTATCAGCGCACCAGCTCCCGCCTTTTAATTCACTTTCTCCATTTTCGTTGTTCTATCAGTCAAATCGGTAATGAGGCGCTGTCATCGATGCTGGACAAAACACCCTCCAAAATCATCTGCAGTAGGAAATAGATTGCTTTTCGAAACCCCTTCTTATCAAATGTTGTAATCGCCTGTCACCTTCCCCAACGTCCTAATGTCCATTTCACTTACCCTTTCGTAGTGAACAACGTACAACCTTGAAGGAGAATGGCGGCGGCAATGCTTTTTATCAGCTCCTATCAGTTGCTATCCCCCTCTGCCACCCGTCAGTTATACTCCCCCCC